AATCAATAGGTTTTTCAAATATAGTAAAGCATAATTACAATATTATAAGATCAAAATAATATAAATCGTGGTACAATATTGAATTATTTGTATTCATAGAAATTATAATTAGTTTTCATCGCGTAATTTTAACCCGTTTAACAAAGCCCAGTTAAGTAACTGGATTTATAAAAGAAAACCTACATGTAGTGTATCATTTTGAACGCACGAATTTTACCATCGACCTTAACTAACAATTATATTAAATATATATGAATGGAATACAAACCTTTAGAGTCTAAAGGATTGTTTAGACCTTTTCGGTTTACATAACTGTTACACACCCTGTATAGTTTCACCACAACACTATAATGAATCAAACTTACAGAATCTACCAGCAAAAACATCATATGATTTAATTCCTCATTACATTTTTATTTTTCAAATATGTAGTGCCTACTGCACATGATTGTGATTGCATAAAACTCGGATTTATAAACACTAGGTCTATAAAAAATTGCTAATTTACTGCCCTAATTTAATTAGTAAAATAGCCTTAGTAAACTGGTAAATAGTTAATTCTTTGTTTTAGGTAATAAATTCGATAAACAGAAGTGGGAAGACAACACTAGTTAACTCTATAATAATATCGATACTCTATGTACAACACTATAGGTTTGAAGCACTACTTGTAGTCTATCTCTTAACTAGCGCGAGGCGTTATCGATAAAGCAATAGGGAGGGTGTATGGAGGTTGATAAATTGCTTCCTGATAGCGCCCCTTGCAGCGTCGTTATAGCGCCCGACGTCGCCTCGCTTTATTTACTTCAAGTGATTCAGTTATAAACACCTGAACTGTAAATGTTATGTCTCCGTGGTTTTCCAATATTGAAACAGTTCACTATAGCCATCACTTTCGTTCTCTTTAAAAAAATAGAGACAACAATTAATGCAAATGTGTCAGCAGATTCTTATCACTATGTGTGTTCACCTTTATAAATTCTTTTCCTTCAATACCTAAGCTTTTATCTGGAAATGTAGTTTTCAAATTAAAAAGACAAAAGGGTGCCCACTATCGACAATTGCTGCTGCGAATTGGAACGTCCGAGTGTTCTTTTTGTAGTGGCTACAGAGGATTGGACCGGCACGCTGTGAGGCGACTTCAATTCTTTTCGCTTATTTTTAAGCATAACATTTTTTACTCTTATTATAATATAATTATTGTATTAGTTGAGCAAGTTTTTGTACAGTGTCGGCAGCAAACCCAATATTTAACTAACATAGCTGAGATTTGACACGAAATTGCTTGATAGATAAAAGTTTGACTCCAAGATATTGATTATTGATACATTACATTTTTTATGACAACGCCATCTATTGCAATTAGATCATACTATTGGTATTAAAACAAAACCAAGATCCATACAAACTTCGTTATAATATTTTTTTTTCTGCTTCGCAATCATGAACAAGAAAAGTTTTCTTAACTTAACAGTAATGTATTCATAAATAGAAATTAACAAATAAGCTAAATCCGAGCATAAACAAGTTTTATTATAAATCAAATCTAAATCCGTGCCTTATTACCAAAGTTCGCAAACAACTAAAACAATACATCACAAAACTCTATAAGTCAGGGATACAATACCGTCATGCAAATTAGAGGTATTTTGTAAATGGTATGTTATATGTAGATAAAAATTGAATATATTACGTTAAATATTTAGGTGGGTTTCCATTACTTTGATTAAAAATAATCCCTCAAGGAATTCTTACTTTCTTACTATAAATGCGAATGTTGCGATCTATTTTAAAGTTATCTTATAAATGTGAACGTTTGCATGGATGGATGGATGTTTCCTTAAAGGTATCTCCAGAACGGCACACATGTAGCACATAGTCTGGAAGAACACATACAGAACCGTGGGCGACAGCTAGTCAATAAATAAAAACTTTAGTAATCATTAATAATAAAAGTTTTAAATCGATCATGAGTCAATTTGCAAGGGTTAAAAAATATTAAATAGATATTTTACGACGATGAAACGATAGCATGTTAACAACTTTAGCATATCCGAGAGTCGAGGAATAGTTTTTTTCAACCACTTCATCAATGTGGAACGTGACATAGGAACAGCGGGATATTTCGGTCCGGTAACAAGCGCGCCACCGCGCCGCAAACGCTCAGTCGCTGTCAATCAACGGCTTAACCACACCTATTCCACCATTTTATCGTTCTGCAGATTTCAATACCGGACAATGAAATATGCATGATTTATTTATTTGTGCTCGAGACTGAACATTTGTAAATGTATGCAGATCTATGTTGAAACATTGAATAATCGTGTTATTGTCATTGTCGGATTAATAACTTCTAACGCTTCTTTAGTCTTACATTAATTTTTATCATGATTTAAATTTCTATGTCCCCTTAGTGGGGCAGACGGCGTCCACAGTGCGCCGCCAGTTCGCTCTATCTTGGGCTCTGCGTTTGGTCCCAGGCCATGTCAGCTCGATTGCCTTCATGTCGGCAGCTTCTGAGCGCCACCAAGTTTGTTATACTTTTATTATACTTGCTGAATATTTTAGATGCAAAGAAATACATATAGAGACGGAAAACTTTGGAATTTCTTCTATTAAGCAAATGGAGTCTCTCGAAATAATGTCCCTTCATAAACCTCTCGGGCAAGCAAATTATTCCATAGGAACTTTTTTAAACGACCATAATCCGTCTTATAAAATTTTAATACGCAAAATCGGTCCGCGCGGATCTCGCTAAGTTTCCTCGTTACTCATAGAGGCGAAGTTTGTTTGTTTGTTCCGTGTACTATTTAACTTTCTTTCGGGCCGCTCTCGGAAGTTTTAATTCAGTTAGATGAGGAACGCTTTCCACTTTGTTTGAGGGCTTGACGGGTTATCTACAGCGAAAAGAAATTGAAAAGTGGGAACGCTTAAGCGAAACTTTTTTCAAACTTTTATTTATTCAAGTGTTCTATTTTACACCATAACTACAAGAAGTTGGTAAACAAGCAAGTGGTAGATTACTCGATATTATAGAGTTTTTATTCCCTAATTTGAAACTCCACCAGCATTAAGATTCTACTAGCTGTCGCCCGCGACTCCGTCCGCGCGAAACGAAAAAAATATATTAACAGCCTATGTGTTCTTCCAGACTATGTTCTACATCTATGGCTAATTTCATCGGATCGTTCAGCCTTTCTGAAGATACCTTCAAACAACCATCCATCTATCCATCCATCCATCTATAAATTCGCATTATAATATTAGTAAGATTTGTTTTGCTAAACCAGAAATCACGTATAGTACAAAATGATTTAAATAGTAATAAAATTCCTAATTACATCAGCTCAACGATACGTCAATAATTATTCACGCTTCGTGTGTTAAACGATTTTTAATAAAAGCTTAATTACAGATTAAAATGGTCGCGCGCTCGGCTGTGAAATTTTGCATCGATCAAGCGTAATCAATCAATTTTGCTATTACTAGAATTTTATGTCATAACTTCGATTTACAACTTTATAACATCAAGTCAGTTTGTCATAAAATCAAGTTACCTCAAGTCAACTCTAAATATCAAGTTTTCAACGACGACTCCGTTTGCGGAATGAAAAAAAAAACTTAATTAGCAGCTTATGTGTTCTTTCAGACTAAGTTTCAGACTAATCTATGCAAAATTTCAGAGAGATCCGTGCAGTCGTTCTTGAGATACCTTCTGACAAACATCCATCCGTGCAGACATTCGCATTTATGATATTGTAACGATAAGATGATTTACGTTTTAAGATGAATTGGCGAATTTTATGAAAATAAAAACAAACTTTCTACGCTTAATGAGTTCTGTAAATGAAAGGTATAAATATAAATGTCGTTGTTTTTGTTCCAAAACCTTTTGATCGTAAATATGCTTATTAAATGTATTAACTTCAAATCTCAGTACATTAAAATAAGCGTTCCAAAACAGTCCCCTTTGTAATTTTACAATTACGTATTTCAAAAAGCATTAAAATCCTTTAAAGTCGGTAAAGCCACCTCAGAGGCAGCCAATGATGTTATTTACCATTTAAAATCTCTTTTACATCGAGAAAATGTTTTTAACACAAAATTCACCATCTCTTCATTGTAAAGTATCTCACGAATGCAGCTTCTTAATTCTTCACATTCATTTGTAGCAGATACTAAAACAAAGGTAAAGCCGACAATAAATAAAATTAATCATCATCATCAGCTCGCTATACGTCCCCACCGAGGTGCTCGGAGCCTACCCTAAGTTAAGGGTCATTAGGCCATAGTCAACCACGCTGGCCCAGTGCGGGTTGGTTGACTTCACACATATCTTTGAATTTCGTCTCAGATATGTGCAGGATGTTTTCCTTCATCGTAAGAACGTTGGATAAATGTACATATGTAAATCGGAAATCTAAAAACACTACATGGCGGGATTCGAACCCAGGACCTGCAGATTGCAAGTCAAGTGCTTGACCCCTGAGCCACCGACGCTCAGGGGTCAAGCACTTGACTTGCAATCTGTTAAATTAAAATAAAATATTTGTTTTGTATAAATTAAAATATTTGTATAGGCATAATACTAATTAATAAATAATAACCCCAATCTGTAATTATTTTCAATAAATAGCTTTTCGCAAATGTGACAAATCGATGTATATTCATAAATTCAACACAGAAATATTAAATAAAATAGCGTAATCACATAATCCAATAATATATGGATTTATCCATTCGTGAGCGTGTGAACAACAAATGGCCCATAAAAAATAGTATTGCATTAATAAAAGTGTGAATCACAAAACATATTGCTCGGCGTATAAAAATAAATTTTAGGGAATTTCGCTTTTATTTCAACTGCGAAAAAAATCTATTTTAGCGTATACCGTATTTGTAATCCGTACAGAATTGAGTCTATAAGTATACATAATAATGTGCCAGTTGTAAAGATTATATGTGAAGTATAAATATGTTATTGAAAGGTGTATAAGGACGTTTGTCTAATCACGATGTGGTGGGCTCTGTGCGTGATCGCAACGGTAGCGGGCGTCGCCGCGCTGCCCACAGAGAACGTAACATCACGCAATGTTTATGTAACGGTAAGTTATCAAATAACTAAGCAGATAGTTCTAGATGATTCTTTAGTAAACTTAAGTGTTGGACTAGAAAGAAAAAATAAAACAAACTAAAGCAGAATTTATAAACCCAGAAACAGACGCAGAAAACAAATCAAGTTTGACGTATCTTCCATCCATATCTGGCTTTCTTTTTGAAAGAAAAAAAAAACGAATTCAGATTAGGAATATGTGTCATCTTAAAATAAATGTTACTGTTAGTTTCTGAGATCAAAATCTCTGGTTAAATCATATCTCGTCATCAACGTCATCTCTGTTGACATAACAATATGTTTTAAACGGAGCTTTTGGTCTCAGAAACCCACCGTATGTCGTTAAAGCTATGTTATAACAGTGGCACTCAGAGACTGGATGTTAGGAATTAACTACATTAAAAATTTATATTTCAGATTAAAAACATCTTAGCCGAAGGATATCGTGCAGAAGCACATGATGTTATTACTGAAGACGAGTATATTTTAGAAGTCCATAGAATTCCTTATCGAAAGAACGAAGATTCGGGTGACGCAAATAGACCGATAGTTCTCTTTATGCACGGATTACTCGGTGCTTCTAACTCATTCACTATCTATGGATCTGAATATAGCATGGGTAAACATAAGTGTTTATATTTATCGTTTTTGATTGCTTCTTTGAACTATATACTTGAATTTTTTTGTACTATAAGGAGGCAAACGAGAAAGTGACCTATGTTAACCAAAATAGCGATGCGACCGCTGTCGACTTTATTCGACGGAGAAGATGATGCACAGAAAGAGATTTTCTATGCGTTCCTTCCTCCGCCAAATACACTTTTTAAGAAGACTAAAATCAAGCCTGATTTAAACTGTCCTTTCTTTATATACATGTATAATTTTTTATTCGACTAAATTAAGAATATTTGGGAAAGTAAGAATGAGAATAAAATCCTGTACGAAATTTTAACTTCCGCAGACCCGAAAATTGCAGGAATTTTAATTCTTAGACCTTAAGAGTTACTTTAGTTGTTATAATAAGCAATAATCAAATCAAATTATAGATATACATACCACTATTATAGGTTACCACTTAGCAGACGCCGGTTACGACGTTTGGTTAGGAAATGCAAGAGGCACAAAGAATTCACGACGTCATCTTAAACTTGACGCAGACGACAATACTGAAAAGTTGCAATTTTTCGATTTTACATTCGAAGATATCGGAAGATACGACGTCGCTGCGATCGTTAATTATATATTAAATCACACGAAACAAGATGCCTTGCATTTCATTGGTCACTCGCAAGGTGCCACAAATTTTTTGGTCCTAGCGAGCATGAGGCCAGAATTTAATAGAAAATTTATCTCTGCCCATTTATTGGGTCCTGTGGGATATCAGAGTCACTTTCCAAATCAGCAACTCTTAAAGTTTTCCCGGCTCACTGACATGATATATGTAAGTATTTTACATAATGTAATTTATTATAATGTCTCAATGAAAGCAAGGAACAATGTTCTAAGCGTCAAACAATGTCATATGTTGTTTTTGCCAGTCTGTTGGAGTGTCATTGGGCTACGTGGAGCTTTATCCACCTAATTCCACCGTGGCTTTGGATATCAATACTACTAGCATCTGCCTCAACTACCTTCATTCTCAAAACCTTTGCGAATCATTGAGTGACAAAATTGAACTGGTAAGAATAAAATGTAGCATTATATTTGTCTAATACCTTTGTATCAGAGTTTCGTTTGCTTAGATCTATACAATTAATAAAATCGGAGTGTCTGTATGTAATATCGAAAAAGAAACACACAAGAAAGTCGTAAATACGCAAGTTTTCCTTTGTTCAGGGAAATTTTTGCGGTTCCTCTGGTATTGCTGATGTCCATGGGCGTCGTTGAACACCTCGGTGTTCCCGATGCTCGTTTGCCCCTTCTGTTATAAAAAAAAACGGCTAGGCCGATTTCGTAACGTGACGTGATTTCGTTGGGAAGGTAGCTGATGCATACGGGCACATATATGCAACTTTTTTCTGAGGTGACGAAATCGCAGGCGACTGCTAGTGTACTTAATAGAATAATAGACTTCATATTTTAATTCGTATGTTAATACTACAGACGACCAGTGAGGTTGACGTGGATTTAATCGGAGGAGGATCTATCAAACAATTCGCTCATTATGGTCAGAACATAAGAGACAGAGCATTTAGAAGATGGAATTATGGGATAGCAAGAAATTTACAAATATACGGATGGGAAAGACCTCCACCTTATGACTTAAAGAAAATCACAACAAAAGTTACATTACACTACACATTGAATGATAAATTAGTAGATACTAGAGACATATTTGCGATGGCTCACGATTTAAGACATGCAGATATACGAAAAGTACCACGGGATAGTTTTCTACATGAAGAATTCGTAACCGCTAAAGATGCAAAGGAATTAGTTACTGTATATATCATTGATGCAATTGCAAAAGATCAGTAAGTATTATAATTGTACTTTAATTCCTAACAAATTTTGCTGGAATATTGTTTATAAATATGTTTTATTTTCAGTCAAAATAAAATGGAAGATAATAGTTATGAAGTTAGTAACGAGGATGATGAAGATTATGAAGAAGAATCTCCAAGTTCAAGTCACAGCGTAGAGTCAAAATGGATAAAATTGATCATTACATTTAGTTTAGTCGTATTTTGTAATATATAAGACTTTTACTTTTGTACTCGAGATATAAGAATTCTTTTCAATGTCTGTCTTGAGCTATAGTATCTATAGTAAGTAGATGGCAAACTTAATGTTCATATTTAGTCCTTTATAATTAAATAGTTTTTATTTTCATCTAGTTTTATCATTACAGCAAAGAGTATATCTATAACATAACAATGATTTATATTCATAATATTAGAGTCAGAAATAGAATACATGAGATGGGATAAAACGTTATTCAGAGGATTCCGTCATGCTTTGTTTAAGCGGGAGCGTTTCGTCGCCTCCCGGCGTTCTCAAAGGGCAATATTGTGACGATTTATGCATTCCAACCAATTCTCAAAGCCATATATCTTTTTGACGCAGGCCGACAGTGTTCTGAAATGGAGTATTTGTTTGAAAATTTAAACCTTCTGAAATTATCCATTATCTATTTAAGACTAAAAATAATTTGTATTATTATAATTCTGGTTTTAAAAGTGTAGCCGCTATGGTGATGTTTATTCCTTACGTATAAAACGATTGAATCAGTTAATTAAGATTTTAAATGAGTTTAAAAAGCATTTCGGATTAAACGGTCGCAGATGCAAATGTTAAAAGCAACATAACCATTAGCCCGGCCATCATAATGGAGTTGTGAAAAGTGTCAGCGGAAGGTTGCAGCGACCAATAAAAGATGAACTTCGTTGTTAGTACATTCTCGTAGTGAAAGTATTGCGCAAAGAAAGTGTCGATGTTGAAATGCAGGTCTATACTCTTGGTCGATTTGAATATCCGTAGAAGCTATGAGAAGCAGTAAATGGATAAATACCACAAACCAGCATCCTAATGAAGGAAGTATTATGGGATGTTTATTTAAACAATTTCATATGGAATTTCTGTAGTATACGTTGAATATTTAAAGTTTTAAATAACATCTAGATTTCTATCATCCGTTCAAATATTATTTAAAAAACCTTACGTGTTTATAAAGTGACTTTCGGATTCGTCTGTATTACTCATATGGCGAAAGCAGTTTTCATAATAATTTTTTGGATTCCCGTTCATAACATCCCAACGTACCTGAAACAAAATAAAAATATTTATTATGTAACTTACGTATTAAGATCTTTTATGGAAAATAGTTAGGTAAAATAACTACATAACATAAGAATAACTTTATTTTTTATTCTACTTCTCTTCTGACTGACTGTGTGCATTAAATTGCTATAGAAAAGTAGGGAGATTCATTGCACCTGCAATTTACGTTAATGGCGGGCGTACTCGTGATAAACTAATGCGACGTGCAGAGCACAGCAACAAGATAATGCACTCCTACGTAACAGTGGACAACGCTGATTGTTCCAGAAAACAATTCCAAATACTCTGTACATCGTACTTCTTTAACCTGATAAATTCTAAAATACTTTACATGTTTTAGATAGCTTAGATCTAAAAGAATAATTTGTAGAAAACTAAAAAGCCGAAGTTTACCAACATCACAAGGGGTCCAAATTTGCCCTTGTAATTTACGCCTGATAAGAACGCTGTACAAATATTATAAATGTGAAAGTTAAAATGGATGGACGTTAGAAGGCAGAACGGCTAAACAGATCTTGATGACATTTGGTTTAGATGTAGAACATAATCTGGAAGAACCTCACGAACACCTCATAGGAAATTTTCGTGCTAGGCCCAAGGTCGTGGAATAATGATTAGAAAAATAAACACAGAAGCCATAAACATTATCGAGCTGCAATAGAGTAAACAACTACGTTTTAATTGAGCAATCACTTTGATTTGAGTGTACGAAACTTTGGTGACCTCGAAACAATGTTTGCAACAGACGTTTGATAAGCAAACGTTTATACATCATGAGTTTATAAAACTCGCGAAAGAAACCAACAACAATAGCACGAACGATTCTAAAACGCACACCAGTAAAGTCCTTGCAGGTAGTTCTTATTTCATTCAAAAAGCAATCGCAAACTTCAATACGCGAACTACCTTCTAGAAGCGGGTGATATTTTATTCAAACGCAGCGAATTGCGTCGACGGCACTTAATGCTGGGAGCACAATATTGTAACTATTCATGTACCGTCAAAGCCATACATCTCGGCCGCGTGGGGAACGGGCTACGTCCAAATGGAAATTTGCTTCAATAACTCAGACGATACAGATCTTAATGCAGACACATAAAGTAAGCTCTGCCCTATAATATATCAGTACGAGGAATACAACAAATGACTATACCATTGTTATAAAACTAACTGTGGAGAAGAACTCAGAGATATTGCTGGTGTCTTGACAAATTATAGAGACTGGTGTGTTAAGCTAAATTCTAAGCAGAAGATTTTGCTAATGATAGAACTCTACCCAAAGTCTTTTGAGGGCTTTCATCGTTCTAAAAATTATTCTGTTATCGAAAATTCATAACAGTCATACTGATACCTAAATTTGATTAGCTTTAGTAATAATTACAGGACTATTATATATTAGTGTGTTGGTTGATTTAATTTTATATGTTGCCGAGATTAAACAAAAATAAAGCTTTGATTTCAACGATTTATATCAAATAACAAGAGTTTATCAAATCGAGCTTTGTTTGAATTTTATCACGTGTCAAAAACAAACAGGTTTTTTTAAAGAGGGCTTCAATAGAGCATTGTTACATTTGTGTACATTGATATATTTACTCATCCTTTTTCCCGCGTTGTTATTGGATGTTAGAATTCCCTTGAAACACGATATCACTGTGTTAAAAATTCACGTGGCGGAATAAAAATTGTTTAAATTGGATTGCTATGGATTTACAAATCATTTTATAACAAAAGGATATATGACAAGTGTTTAATGTTTTATTGCCGAACTTAGTCATGAAGTGACCACTAAGGGAGTCCCTTAGAGTAGATTTAGTATTGCGATTCGCATATTATAAAAACAAAACACGATAACTCAGTGATGATAAACTCTTGTGCAAGAGTCATTTGATTTGATTGAAAAACTCTTATCGTTATTATCGACCATGCTACTTGCAATAAAATGCAAATTACTTGTACGCATCAAATTATTGTCGTAAATTTTATTACTATAGAATCATATCTTACTAATTTTATAAATGCGAAAGTTTACATGGTATGTTTATTTGAAGGTATGTCCAAAATTGGACGAATCTTGATGAAATTTAGCAGAGGTGTAGAATAGTCTGGAAGCACACATAGGCTACTTATAAAGTTTTTTTTAATTCCGCACAGACGGACTAGCGGGCGTTAGCTAGTAATAAAATAAATTGTATAAGAATTGTTTTGTCTGCATATACAATATTAAAAATGCTATAGTATATGCAGACAAAACAAATTTATTTTTCGTTTTTCCTTGATTTCCTTTAGAATCTGAATATAGTCGATGAAACTGTTATCGAAGGGAAGTAGCTTCGGGAAGGAAATGGGGTAGAGGAATATTTATGTACAGATACTGAGTATTCAGTATGCTAGTAGGATGGAATCTTTTTACCTTCATAAAATCTGAGTTTTATGGAGCAAATTGTAAGGTTTGGTACATATTCATAGTGTTATGTGTTTTAATATTTTATTAATTCTATAAAACTTTAACTTTAGCACGATGATTTGTGACTAACGATTTCAGAATATTAAATTATTTATAACGTACGTTAGTAACATACATAATTCTTTGTTGAAATATTTTCTCAAGATATTTGACGGATCGAAATCAGTGATGCTCACTTTTTTATTTGAAACGTTTAGCCCACATACACACGGGCGTTTTTTAAAGCGCGTTACAAACGCGTTTAAATAGATTAAATGCCTTTTTAAGTGCGTGTTAATATAAAAGCACTTTTAAAACGCGACTCTTTTTTATCGGGCAGTGTTGAGTTTCGGACATTGACCGAAGGAAACATGAGTGATTTTAAAGTGTTCATCGAGAGCCGCTAAAGAGTTTTAACGCTGTGTTCAAAAACGCCCGTGCGAATTAGGTCTAAGTAGAGGATTTTATAATTTAAACTAATAAAATCAGATAAGTGAATCTCAGTTACTTCATTGAGGAATCGCATAACGAAACAAATGAACAAAGTACAGATAAATAGACAATACAATTTGTACATACGAGTATAAATGGTGTTCTTTGTTGTCTCGAATACGTAGAATCGTTGCTAATTGGCAGTAGTACACGGCGCGTATGTGCCCTGCTAATGATTACATTGACAATTCGTTGTAATTGAATTTTAATCATGTACGATTTACTGATAAATTCTGTGAAAACTGTGCTTGTCCTACAACATATTATTTTTAAAAGTTAATTAATTAAACCATATAGTATGAAAAAAAAAATGAAAAAATCGTTATTGTTATACACACGAAATTCAACATTCAATGTTGCCTTGGCTCCTTAACTAGGAAGACCTGTACTTAAGGAGCAAAGGACTTCCCATACATATAAATTTAATAATTGTTTGTGTAGAAAAACAATTATTAAAAAGTATTGTATGATGTGTACATTTCGGGAAATACGAATAAAATCAAACCTGGTATTTAGAAATTGGGCAAGTCACAATGAAACAGACACTCTTGATATACTCAAAAAATAACCCTGTTTTCAGTAAAGCAATACGGTTCATTTATGCGATTATTGTTTTTTCATTTTCGGGTTTTGGAGGCATATAAACCATGCCTGGTATTAACGAAACCTGGTAAATACCAGGTTTGGTATATATTTCTCCATAAGTTAGTAGTGTCATTGCAAAATAAGAATATGTATTAACACAACATTAAACCTAATTAATATTAATGAATGCAGCAAACACGATCGAATGCCCCAAAGGGGGGTTGAATAAACGGAACCTACTCACTTTATTCATTTGCCAAATTCACCGCCCGTTTGGGTCTGGATTCGATTCCGAATGAATGCGGACGTAATTTCACGTGGAGGGCACTTTTGACGTCCGCGGCGACCGCGGCTACGTGCCGATGGACCGTTCCCTCATTCATTTTCCGGCACTTGCGTGTACGATTCGGAGTTTATTCTGAAAATGCACCTATT